TCACTTATCCATATTATCACATTCGTCTTTGCTCTGTATTGCCCTCAGGATGAGCGGTCGGTAATCTTCGATCGAATATCGAGAGGATTGACAATATCCTTATCAGCTTTCACATATCCGGGGACTCCAATGTTTACCACAAAGATTGGTTAGTCCACTTGAACAAAACCGATGAGGAAGGCAGATATTGCAGCAATTTCTCTATCGCCTATGCACTAACCCAGAACATTGAAGAACCCACCTGAGTTCCGGAAAACCTCCTCGACCTTTTTCTAAAATACTGCCCTGAAAAATGCTCAGGAAAACTGTTACCCAGCCACATAGGTACGTCAGACCATTCCCTAGTAAAGGTGCAGATTGATTCCAAACCAATGACATCCCCTGATTTACCGTTCCATAGAACGGTTTTCCGCCATGGTTTTTTCGACTTCTTCGAACATGTTTCCCGCAAAACTGCTGTCCTAATCTCCGAAAGGATCCTTTCTTGAATGGAGTGCTTTATACCCATAAAAGTTGCACTTGTGTTTTTTCATTAGATAGCATTAGGGGTTTTTAACTTTAACAAATTCCACATCATTGGCAGGGACACAAAAGTGAGGACCCTGATCTCCCATATATGTGCTTCCGCGTGACACTTATCCATATTATCATATTCATCTTTGCGACATTAAAAAAAATAGATCCCAGTTATAACATCTCTTCCACCAATATAAAGGAATCTAGGTTTCAACTTGCCAAAAGTAGAACTCCATCATCATTCTCAACCTGATTTCCTGTCCCAGTCTGAAACAGGTATCAATGTTTCAATTGCAGTTCACGAGTTCATAATGCCAGGTTACTCACCCATTATTAAAAAAATACGATCACCTAAATCGCCACGCTCACGTATCCGGTGGTGTCTACATCAAGGACGGGTTTCCCTGTGTCAATGAAAAAAAAAACGACGACTCTGATATCCCGTATATGTTTTTTCGTCTGGCACTTATCCATAGAACCACATTCGCCTTTGCCCTGTACCGTCTTCAGGATGAAAGGTCTGTAATCTTCGATCGAATATCAGAGAGGATTGACACTATCCTCACCGAATATTTCTCGGCCAACTTTTGTATATGCGGTGACTTAAATGTTCACCACAAAGTGTGGTTAGCCCGCTCGAACAAAACCGATGAGGAAGGCAGATACTGCAGAGCCTTCTCCATCGCGCATAAACTAACCCAGAACTTTGAAGAATCCACCCAATGCTGGATGGGCGGGACAACAGATGAACTTCACCGAAATTTTTCTAACATCCTTCCCAACAAATGTTCAGCAGAAGATATAGCCCCCATTGGCATGTCAGATCATTCCCTAGTCCTTGTCCACTTTGACTCCAAACCTAAGATGTCCCCTGATTTACCGTACCATTGAACGATTTTTCGCTATGCGCTAGGAAACTGGGACAGCATTCGGCGTCCTATATGACGGAGAGTCCTCTTGAAAACGACTTCAAAAATGCTGCCACCAAAACTGTTGCCCTAATCCCCAAATGGGTGCTTTCTGGAATGAAGTGTTTTATAACCTCCCCCCACAAAAAACCCAAAAAAACAGTCAGCCCTGGTTCACTCCAGAATGAGCTGTAGCCATAGCTCACCGGAAAGTTTTATCACAAGGAGCGGTGTAGTCTGGTCCTTACTTCTTTCAGAAGCGCCCGCGATTTGCTGTAAGAGAATTCTGGAAAACGTAAAGTGCAGCTGCGCGAAGATCTGTCCAGGCCAAGGTTGAAAAGAAATTAATTGAATCTCGCGAATTCTGGAAGAGGGTTCTGGAAACGGAAATTGCAGTTGCACGAAGGTCTGTCCAGAACAAGGTTGAAAAGAAATTAATTGAATCTCGCGAATTCTAGAAGAGAGTTCTGAAACGGAAATTCCAGACCAAGTTGAAAGGTCTGTCCAGAAACGAAGGTCTGTCCAGACTAAGGTTGAAAAGAAATTAATTGAATCTCGCAAATTCTAGAAGAGAGTTCTGGAAACGGAAACGGAAACAGTTGCACGAAGGTCTGTCCAGACCAAGGTTGAAAAAAATTAATTGAATCTCACGAATTCTAGAAGAGAGTTCTGAAACGGAAATTGCAGTTGCACGAAGGTCTGTCCAGACCAAGGTTGAAAAGAAATTAATTCAATCTCGCGAATTCTAGAAGAGAGTTCTGGAAACGGAAAGTACAGTTGCGAAGGTCTGTCCAGACCAAGGTTGAAAAGAAATTAATTGAATCTTGAATTCTAGAAGAGAGTTCTGGAAACGGAAATTGCAGTTGCACGAAGGTCTGTCCAGAACAAGGTTGAAAAGAAATTAATTGAATCTCGCGAATTCTAGAAGAGAGTTCTGGAAACGGAAATTGCAGTTGCGCGAAGGTCTGTCCGGGCCAAGGTTGAAAAGAAATTAATTGAATCTCGCGAATTCTAGAAGAGAGTTCTGGAAACGGAAATTGCAGTTGCGCGAAGGTCTGTCCGGGCCAAGGTTGAAAAGAAATTAATTGAATCTCGCGAATTCTAGAAGAGAGTTCTGGAAACGGAAATTGCAGTTGCACGAAGGTCTGTCCAGACCAAGGTTGAAAAGAAATTAATTGAATCTCGCGAATTCTAGAAGAGAGTTCTGGAAACGGAAATTGCAGTTGCACGAAGGTCTGTCCAGAACAAGGTTGAAAAGAAATTAATTGAATCTCGCGAATTCTAGAAGAGAGTTCTGGAAACGGAAATTGCAGTTGCGCGAAGGTCTGTCCGGGCCAAGGTTGAAAAGAAATTAATTGAATTAATTCTGAAATCTCGCGAAGGTCTGTCCGGGCCAAGGTTGAAAAGAAATTAATTGAATCTCGCGAATTCTGGAAGAGAAGAGAGTTCTGCCAAGAAACGGAAATTGCAGTTGCGCGAAGGTCTGTCCGGGCCAAGGTTGAAAAGAAATTAATTGAATCTCGCGAATTCTAAAGAGAGTTCTGGAAACGGAAATTGCAGTTACGAAGGTCTGTCCGGGCCAAGGTTGAAAAGAAATTAATTGAATCTCGCGAATTCTAGAAGAGAGTTCTGAAACGGAAATTACAGTTGCACGAAGGTCTGTCCAGACCAAGGTTGAAAAAGAAATTAATTGAATCTCGCGAATTCTAGAAGAGAGTTCTGGAAACGGAAATTGCAGTTGCACGAAGGTCTGTCCAGACTAAGGTTGAAAAGAATTTAATTGAATCTCGCGAATTCTAGAAGAGAATTCTGGAAACGGAAATTGCAGTTGCACGAAGGTCTGTCCAGACCAAGGTTGAAAAGAAATTAATTGAATCTCGCGAATTCTGGAAGAGAGTTCTGGAAACGGAAATTGCAGTTGCACGAAGGTCTGTCCAGACCAAGGTTGAAAAGAATTTAATTGAATCTCGCGAATTCTAGAAGAGAGTTCTGGAAACGGAAATTGCCGTTGCACGAAGGTCTGTCCAGAACAAGGTTGAAAAGAAATTAATTGAATCTCGCGAATTCTAGAAGAGAGTTCTGGAAACGGAAATTGCATTTGCACGAAGGTCTGTCCAGACCAAGGTTGAAAAGAAATTAATTGAATCTCGCGAATTCTAGAAGAGAGTTCTGGAAACGGAAATTGCAGTTGCACGAAGGTCTGTCCAGACCAAGGTTGAAAAGAATTTAATTGAATCTCGCGAATTCTAGAAGAGAATTCTGGAAACGGAAATTGCAGTTGCACGAAGGTCTGTCCAGACCAAGGTTGAAAAGAAATTAATTGAATCTCGCGAATTCTGGAAGAGAGTTCTGGAAACGGAAATTGCAGTTGCGCGATGGTCTGCATGTAAACAAATGACGTCATATATTAAGAAATGGACAAAATCCGACAATTTATTTATTAAAGACATTTTTATGTTTAACGTTCTTTTTTATTTATACATCTTTTACATTTGATACGCCAGAGCAGTTATGAATGTACGAGATTCATGGAAGATTGAAGTTTATAAGCAGTAAATTCGACCTTGCCTACCGAACGCTCCTTTGTGGCCGAGAAGTTAGGCACGTCAGCGTAAATGACGGTTCCGTATAGGATGCAGGTTCGAATCCTGTCAAAGGACGAATATTTTCTATGAAAATTTCTCGGACATTCAGGCCGGTAAATGTTATTTAATACTGTTTATTATAAACAGAGCATTTACTTAAATACTTGTATCTATAAAAAAGAACGTTAAACATAAAAATGTCTTTAATAAATAAATTGTCAGACTTTGTCCGTTTCTTAATATAGACATATGTATATTGGGAATATATATATATATAATTATTTATTCGAAAATTATAACATAAATATGTTATAAAATCACTAAAAAACTGCCATTTTGTTTCAACACTTCTGGTGTTTTATCAAGTGACGGTGGTGAATCTATAATAAAGGGTTTTAAAAGGTTCAAATCAATCAAACACTCCTCCATGGGAAAAGCTGTTACACCATCACTCGATAAGACAACAGAAGCGTTGATACAAAATGGCTATTTTTGTAGTAGTTTTATAACATATTTATTTTATAAAATATTTATGTTATAATTTTCGAATAAATAATAAATAATTATATTTGGTCTACTCTGTATTGAGCACTCTTTTAAGAATAGTATTTCTCGGTTATTAGAATTTATTCCGTATACACCAATCCTATATATATATATATATATATATATATATATATATATATATATATATATATATATATACGGAGCGCTGATCTTATAAAACTTTCAGTTATTTGTTTGGATAAGTCTTGTTCTTATGTACATCGTCTTTGTCATGTTGAATTGATAATGTTATAATTTATGAATATGTCCTGAAGATGGTTTATTAGACCGAAACGTCCGACGTTGACATATTAACATTAAAACAGCATAATTGTATATAAGTATTTTTGTTTGTTTTTTCCGTATATATTTTTCTTCATATATATATAGTTTAAAATGTCTTATATTCATGGGGAATGTGTGAGCATTATTGGAGAAAAATATGTCAATAAAATGACTTCAAGAAAGGATATAAATTGAGAAAGGCATAAAGAAAAAGGAAAAGAGAAAGATTGAAAAGTGAATCAAGAGAATATAATAATAATGAGTGGGAGGAAAGGGAGGAGGGGGAGAAGAAGAACGATAAAAATGTGTTCAAGAAAAAAGAGAAAATGAGAAAAGCAGAAAGAAAATGAAAACGTTTATATTGAGAAAAGATAGAAATTATGAAGACATTATAGATAGATAGATAGATAGATAGATAGATAGATAGATAGATAGATAGATATTCAAGACAAAGCAATAGATTGATATGAACAGATAGATAGATAGATATCAAGAAACAGGAATAGAGAGATATGAACACATCAACAGACTGATAGATAGATAGATAGATAGATAGATAGATAGATAGATAGATAGATAGATAGATATTCAAGAGAAAGCAATAGATTGATATGAACAGATAGATAGATAGATAGATAGATAGATAGATAGATAGATAGATAGATAGATAGATAGATAGATAGATATCAAGAGACAGGAATAGAGATATGAACACATCAACAGATAGATAGATAGATAGATAGATAGATAGATAGATAGATAGATAGATAGATAGATAGATAGATATCAAGAGACAGGAATAGAGAGATATGAACACATCAACAGATAGATAGATAGATAGATAGATAGATAGATAGATAGATAGATAGATATTCAAGAGAAAGCAATAGATTGATATGAACAGATAGATAGATAGATAGATAGATAGATAGATAGATAGATAGATAGATAGATAGATAGATTGACTGGTCTGTGTAATTAGTTATAGTCATAAAGGTAGAGGTATAGCGATCAACAGACTGATAGATAGATAGATAGATAGATAGATAGATAGATAGATAGATAGATAGATAGATAGATAAGAATTGAATGAGATCGATTACGTTAGACAGAAACAGACTGAGATATAAAGATATGATACAGATATACAATTACTATGCCACATGAAATGCCAATATTATACCATACGTTTCTTTATTTTTGAAGATAAAGAGAGCGACTGAACGATAAAAAAGACGGAAGTAACTGTAACAGACAGATAGATAGATAGATAAATAAATAAAGTAAAGAAATAAGAAAGAAACTGTGATAGATAGATAGCGATTTTCCAAGCGTAAGCTTATATGTGGCACAAGTCCGAAAGTTGGGGGCACCCAGTGAGGATCGAACTCACTACTCAATTGTAATTGTTCTAGCGAGACGAGCTCGCTAACCATTACAACGGATAGATAGATATAGACAGAATAAACTGTGATAGATAGATAGATAGATAGATAGATAGATAGATAGATAGATAGATTAAAGGAAGAAGAATCGAAACTTAGATAGATAGATAGATAGATAGATAGATAGATAGATAGATAGATAGAGAGAGAGAGAGAGAGAGAGACAGACAGACAGACAGAGATAGATAGATAGATAGATCTGAACATACTGAGATAGATAGATTAAAGGAAGGAGAATCGAAACTTAGATAGATAGATAGATAGATAGATAGATAGATAGATAGATAGATAGATAGATAAAGTAAGAAATAAGACAGAAACTCTCATAGATAGATAGATAGATAGATAGATAGATAGATAGATAGAGAGAGAGAGACAGACAGACAGAGATAGATAGATAGATAGATCTGAACATACTGAGATAGATTAAAGGAAGGAGAATCGAAACTTAGATAGATAGATAGATAGATAGATAGATAGATAAAGTAAGAAATAAGACAGAAACTCTCATAGATAGATAGATAGATAGATAGATAGATAGATAGATAGATAGATAGATATGAACAGACTGAGATACATAGATATGAACAGACTGAGATAGATAGATAGATAGATAGATAGATAAATAGATAGATAGATAGATAGATAGATAGATAGATAGATTTGTATATGCATAACGTATGAAAATATATTCAAGAAAGAAAAATTCAAAATGCATGATATAAATATATTTTCAAAAACAAAAACCTAACTAAATTAATTGAAGAGTTCCTCGATTGAACATTCGTTCAAGATGTAAAATAAAAATGGCGAATATCAAAATTGCCATAGACTTCAAGGGACCTTCTTTTCAGAAACGACATTTCATTGAACTCAAAAATAGAAAATAATTCCTGACACTTTAGTATTTCCAGTTAGATCTGAATGAATATAAAATAAAGACTCAATGTCTTTTCCGATCAAATTCTGACCTTCAGAGTTAATTAGGCCAGTCAGCTTTTTGATTACATGCCAGGCTCTCTTGCGTTGTCGACTGTGTTTCTACACGAATTACACAGATCTGAAGATATTCGCTTCCGTCCGGTATTCTCAAATAAAGTCTGTCTACACGACGACTTATTCAGAGCGTGGGCGGTAGTACTTCACTACTGGGGATAATGTTAACTCTCATGGTTGCAGTAGATTTCTTTTGAGGCATTCTGAGTTGAGCTGTAAAATGTTTATTTCATTCTTTTGCAAACGGTGAGCAGATATACGAAAATAGAAAGGGTTGTGTGACAAGGATGTGTCCTCTCTCCGGACTTATTCAACTTACACAGCGAGGCGATTCTGGGCGAATTAGAAATTCTACTTGGGTTCATCATTGGCAGCAACAGTCACAATGTAAGTTATGCAGAAAAGCGGTGTTTGATAAATACAGGAAAAATTTTAAAAAACTCCTAAAAAATGTCTGCCTATATCTCTGAGATGAGGTATTATGATTACTTGCATTATTTACATTATTCGGACTGTTATCCTCATCTTCATCGCCATATTCACAGTGTTTCGTCAGTTGTACGCTCAGGCCTTCTTCAGGTAACTGGATTTCTGAGATGAGGTATTATGATTACTTGCATTATGTACATTATTCGGACTGGTATCCTTATCTTCATCGCCATATTCACAACGTTTCGGTAATTGTACGCTCTGGCCTTCTTCAGGTAATTGGACATCTGAGATGAGGTATTATTTACATTATTCGGACTGTTATCCTCATCTTTCTTGCCATATTCACAACGTTCCGGCCGTTGTACCCTCCGGCTTTCTTCAAGTGATTGGAATTTCGAACCGAATCCTTTATTTCGTCCAGCGGGGTAGATTGTTCTAGTTCCACGCCCCATGCCACTTCCAGATGTCTCAGTTATATTCCTTTAATTCATCTTTCCATGTTTTGGTTCACCACTGTTGTGGCTTGGTATTGAACTCACAACTCTTTGGGTCTAGTCACTGGATCTAAACAACGTCTTTATCCACTGCACCGGAAGAGCCATGATACGTGGAACTAGAGCAATTGCCCCAGGTGGACGAAATAATGGGTTCGGTTTGAAGTTCACCTGAAGAATGCCGGATCGTAAACCACCGAAACTTTGTAAATATGGCAATACAGATGAGGATGACACAACTACAAAGGTAGAGATGAAAATGGAGAAGAAAGGATTAATCATCACGTGCAAAAAGATAGAATGCATGCTTATTAGCAACAGAATGAGCCCAAAATGCAAATTACATATCGGAGATACCAAAATCAAGTCATTTAACAGAGGATGGAAAATGCGACACTGAAATCCGAAGTTACATTCAAATAACCAAAGATGCATTCCAAAAGCTAAGCAGAGTATTAAGAGACAGGAAAATTTCGTTATAAACAAAGAAAAGAGTACTGAACTGTTACGTGATATCTGTCCTCCTATATGACAGTGAGTGCTTGACAATCTCCTCAAAGACGAGGAAGTGTTGAGGAAACAGAAATGTGTTTATACATGAGGATGCTAAGGATACTATGGACCGAGCATGCGAGCAACGACGAATTAAAAAAAAAGGAAACAAAAAGGACACTTATACTTATCATTTGGGAAGCTGAGATTTCTGGGGTACATAATAAGGAAAGAGGGCTTGGAAAATCTGATACTCACAGGACATAGTGGAGGCAAAAAGGAAAGAGGAAAATAACGGATAACTGAGGATAAATGGATGGTGGAACAAGGTTTTGAAGTTATAACAAAAAGACAAAATTTAATGAGAGCAACAAATGACAGGAAAAATTGGAGAGCCATGATCGCCTATATCCTGTAGGAACACGCCTCGTTGAAGAAAATAACAAACCCTCGAACGCTGCTTGGATAAAACAAGCATAATTGTTTATTTATTTATTTCTGTACCCATTTAAATATATGTCACATTTTAAATACTGAGATAAACTTGCAGTTTTTGTAAAGATCAGCGAAGAACCGGAAAGAATATATTTAATCGTCTTAAGAATCCAGCAAAATGGCCGACAAATGGTTATGCTCACTGTAGCTGAAATGCCTCGAAACCCAAAATATTGTCGTTTCATCATCACAGAGCGGACACTGAATGTTCACCGATCGTCTTGAACGGCTGTTCCCTCAGTGAGGCCTGTGTCGTGAGCACCTATTTGGACTTATTCGACCCAGACCTCAAGCTCATACGACCCAAAGCAAGAGATGCTGGAAAAAATAGTCGATCTTCTCTACCGTTCCAGGAAGCATCTGACTCCTCCTGCTAATCTGTACTTTTATAAGAGCCTGATAAAGCCTGATAAGCCCCCATAGTTGTAATGCTGCCATATATGGGCAGGAGCTGCTCGGTCTTCGCTTTCCAGTCACGAGAGAATCTAAAAGCATCCCCGACGCTTTGTGGGTGGCGAAATACCCCCCCACTTTCAACCACTTTCTCACAGACGAAACGTCCCAATTCTATCGTTGCTCTATCGCTGTTTCCATGATGAGTGTTCAGACGAACTACATTGCTTAGTTCCGACAGTTTTCGCCTTCACGGATAAGACCCACAATGTCACGCACATTATAGCGAACTACCCTCATTCCATTCATATTCCATTGATGAAAGATAAATTACTCACGAAGCGACTCCCAAGAGGATGCTTCCCTCGATCACTATAATCTTAACATCTTCAAGTCTAGGATCAACTGTTATCTTCCCCACATACCCGCAAAACCTGTGTCTCTTACTTTATAACCTTCTACCTTGAGTGGCTCTTGGGACTTGAACAGCTGGTTGGTTAGTTGTTTTATTTTATAGCATATTAACTTCAGTGGGTCCTTTAATGCCAACAAAAGTTTTGAAATAGATTCATAGCGATAGTTTGCTAAAAAAAATATGTATATATATACATATATATTTGAACCATTTTTCAATTACTCATATTTTTGAGTACAACCATATGTATTGATGGTGATATTTTTTTTTTCCAAAAACGTAATGCTGGTAATATTTTTGTTCAAAAATATATTGCTGGTAATAGTTTTTTTCTTGAAAAATTTATTTCTGGTAATAATTTTTTACAAAGTATTTCTGGTATTAAAACCTATTTTTACACTTTCATAATGCTTTTTACCTCTATTTTGGGGTTAACTATTTGCCCATAGCTGGGACCCTAACAGGTGCTACCACCCCGGTTCAGGATGGACCTGGGAACACCAGAATTATTAAGAGGTAGTTCCACGCTCCTCAAAAACCTCCTTATCAGAGGCCTTGCTGGTGGACGTAGTTTATCGTCTTACCCTGGACGCGGATGTAGTTTATCGTCTTACCCTGGACGCGGATGGACGTCTTACCCAGGACGCGGATGTAGTTTATCGTCTTACCCTGGAGGCGGATGTGGTTTATCGTCTTACCCAGGACGCGGATGTAGTTTATCGTCTTACCCTGGACGCGGATGAAGTTTATCGTCTTACCCTGGAGGCGGATGTTTATCGTCTTACCCAGGACGCGGATGTGGTTTATCGTCTTACCCTGGACGCGGATGTAGTTTATCGTCTTACCCAGGACGCGGATGTAGTTTATCGTCTTACCCTGGAGGCGGATGTAGTTTATCGTCTTACCCAGGACGCGGATGCCAGTTTATCGTTTATCGGATGTAGTTTATCGTCCAGGACGCGGATTTAGTTTATCATCTTACCCTGGACGCGGATGTAGTTTATCGTCTTACCCTGGAGGCGGATGTAGTTTATCGTCATACCCAGAACGGCTCATTGGTGTTGGTGTTGGTGGGGGGGGGGTCTTACACTATCCTTTCCTCACTCTCTTTTCGGCTATTCCACTTAAATAAGCTGGTATGATGATGAAAGCGGACATGGGGAATTGGAAATTCAAACGACGTACTGAAAGCAAGATAGACAGAGGAAAACACCTACTCAAGACAGATAGAGAAGAAACAATACATACTAAGAGCTACGAATGCCAGGAAATTGTGGAGAGCCATGTCCTGAAGGAATACGATACACAGAAGAAAAAAGTCATCTTTTATTTCTGATTGTTTTTCATTCATTTTATTTGTTTCGTATTTTCTATCTTTCTTTTCCTTTTCTCGTTTGTATTCTTTTTACGTCTTGTTTTTCTTTCTTCTTTATTTTTCATACTCCTTGTGTTAATCGATTTTCGTCTTCTTGTTTATTTCATTTTATTCTTCGTTTTTTTTTATTTTTTTTATTTTTCATATAATATATAAATTATTTGTATTTATCTTTGTTTTTATTCTTCCTTTTTTCTTTCTTTTCTATATACATTACCTAATATTGGTAGTGTTCGGCTTTTTGATTTTTCCTTTTTTATTCTTCATTTTTTCCTTCTTTTTTATTTTTCATATTCTATATTATTTATTTCTGGTCATCTTTGCTTTCATTCTTTTTATTCCTCGTTTTTTTTTTTCTTTCATTTGTTTTTCTTATTCTATTCATATTACCTTGTGTTAATCGTTTTTCATCTTCTTGTTTTCTTTCTCTTTATCCTTCGTTTTTTCTTTCTTTTTTATTTTTCATATGAATTATTTCTGCTTCTCTTTGTTTTCATTCTTTTTTATTCTTGGTTTTTCTTTTATTTATTTATTTATAAACGCCTTACCTCTTGCTATTCGCCTTTTTTGTTACTTTTTCTTCTTTTTCCTTTTTCTTAATCTTTCTTTGTCATCCTATACTTTCC